CCCTGATGTTGGGAAAGTGTGATGGCAAGAGGAGAAGGGGACGACTGAGGATGAGATGGCTGGACAGTGTCTGCGAAGCAACCAACATGAATTTGACACAACTCTGGGAGTCAATAGAAGCTAGGAGGGCCTGCCGTGCTCTGGTCCATGGGGTCACGAAGAGTCGGAAACGACTAAACGAACGAACTATGTCAGACTAGAACTGTTGAGACTTGACATAAAGTTTACACTGAGCCATGAACCTCCTCTGTGTGTGACCCTGGGTCCAATCTTCATCCATAGCCTGAGCTTATTCCAAGAGGTCTTCAGTATGTCTGTATTTTCATTTTAAAATCTATTGGCTGAAATCCTGTTGCTAAGCTTAGTAAATTGCACTGAAATAGGCCCATTGAATCAGTGGGGATTTTGTGAGTCAACACCTCTATAAGTTCCATTGATTCATATATCGGTCTACTCTAATGTTACTTATTTAAGCAACAGGAATTTGGCCACATTGTGATATTAAAAATTTCCAAAGCTCAGAATGAGGCACTCCTGTGTTTGCTCACAGTGAAATAAAAATTAAATTTTTTGTTTTGTTTTTACCTTCAGAGTCAGAAAGGGAATTTACAACTTGAAACTAGTTTGGATGGTTATATCTACTTGTGGCTTTACCTTGTTTGTGTCCCCAGACAAACCATGAACTGTTTACAAATCAGCAGAAAATATATGTACCCTCTCAAACATTTTGTAGGATGATCACCAGAGAAAACGTTAGTCTCATAAAGTCAAAAGAACAACTTATCTGGATTATATTAAGTCTTGCTTTAAAATATGGCTTTGTTGGCTCAAGCAACTTTGAAATTGTCCATTTTACCTCATATTCTATTACCATTCTTTCACTGTTACTAATGAAAAAGTGTTGTCCATCTCTGTCTCTTGTAAGAAATGGAAAATTTTACAGAACCCAAAAAAATCATTGGGAAAGCTTCTGGAGGGGTTTCTAGTTTTTCTTTCTAATGTTATGGATACTTTTCTCCAATTGGAAGAAGTATATGTTTGGGGAAATATATGCAGATAATTGTGTGAAGATTGCACATGAATTCTGAGAGAGATTTGTTCCCAAATTGCTTATCTTATTTAACAACACGTGCATATGCTTGTGTGCAGTTTCATTTCATGCAAACCATGGGACTTGTGGAATAGAATTAGGAAATCTTTAATTACCAAAAACCCAGTAGGACATATTTATTTATTACATTTCTGTACTGCCCTTCTAGTGGTAAGCCACTACTCTGGGTGTTTCACAGTACATAAAAACACCCAACATATTGTCATCTTGCTGCAATCTTAACTTATACAAGAGGGTTTGGGCTAGTAAATTGCAATTGAGCAGTTTTACACTGAATTCTCATGGTCTGTTGAAAACTTCATAATCAGCTTTTTCTGCATCTTGGTACTCAAGGGATTATAAGATATTCCTGGCAGGAGATACAGTACAAGGTTTACTTAGACAGGCAAAGGAGGAGGTTGAGTAGCAAAATGAAAGTTATCTCTGCCTCTGTTGATCCTGCACTCCACTCCAGCAGCCCCTGCATGGAAGTGGTTAGCTTCAGTAAATTGCCTGCATTATGTTCCCAGACTAGAATTTTTAAAAATCTTTCATCTACATGAAGTAGGGTCCAAGTCTAGTCACTAGTCTCAACTAGAGCAGATCTATTAAATCAATGGAATTTGAATTAATTGATTTGAATGAATTGTTCAGCAATTAATTGATTGGATCTACTGTCGTTGAGACATGTAGATCAAGTAATAAGCTTAGCAGTCCATGATTGTATTGAGTCTGCACTTAGAACTACATATTGCATTGGCACAAATTATATATATTGCCTGATAAAGTGCCATTCCACCCTTGGTTTCCTCTAAGCTTTCTTGGAGTTGGTTTTTGATATACAGAAGTTGGGAGAAATAGCTTGACAAAAACAGCATGGCAAAAAATCCACAGTTTATCTTGAAATTTCTGTGGTTAGCTTCATCGCTCGTTTCGTTTCTCTTTAAGATTGTGCTTCCACTTGAATGGTTTCCACTGAACAAGCCAAGCGCTGGAGATTATTTTCATATGGCATACAATGTTATCACACCTTTTATTCTTTTAAAAGTAAGTCTAAAGCATTGTCATTATTGTTACTGTTGTTATTTCTCTTTTTGCTAAAATAATTTTAATGTATATGGTTCTGTTTTGTTCTGGGGTTTCATTTTTTGAAGGGTTTGATTGTGAGGGCTGAGAGCACATTTACAGGGGACCTCTTCAGCAACTTGTATTCTGACAGATAATCCATTCACTGGAACTTTGCCATCCACAAGATGTTGCTTTTGAATTATAATGAGCATCAATGGCAAAGCATGAGGAATGAGGTGAAGCCCTCTAGGTTTTCTGGGTTTATAAGTCCCATCCACCATAGTCAACATAGTGTGAGGAATGCTGGGAATTGTAGTTTGGGAATGGGGACTTGCCCTTTGTCTGCCCCTCCCCGGACTAGTGCTGCTAGCTTTCTCTATTGTTTCTTTTTAGAAAAAGGAATAACAACATTAAAATATTCCCTTGAAGCATCTTATTGATGGGAAAATGCCAATAAACTTTCACCTCTCAGGAGGTAAATTGCTTGCAGAGAGACCATGTGTTCATGCATGTATGTGCATGTGCAGACACAAACATCTGCATTGCTGTATCTAGTGAACTGTGATTAGAGAAGGGCACAAGCCACAAAAACTGTGTGTTCACAAGCCACAAACTTTCATGAACTTTGGGACTTATGTGAGCCCAGAAGGCCCCTACACAAGTTAGAGACACCAACATGCACTAAGTCTCCAGCTGACTCTCTTCACCCCCTCCAAGCTTCACAAAGATTTGATTCGGGACATCCGAGTTATAGCCCCCACAAAGCAGGAAAGTGCTCTCTAGCGGCTGGTTTTGTTTCATTCTGAGCAAGCGCTTTTCTCCAAAGTGCCCCCAAACAAACCATGAAACAGCCTGTTTTGTGTTTGTTTGTTTTTTTGTTTTTGTTTTTTTTGCTTTGGGTACATTTCATACCCACCTCTAACTGATTTTGATCTATCTTGCTAACAAATAAAAAACAATTACTTGGCATGCAAAGAGTGGTTTGAGTGAGTCACAGCATACACCTAGGTCAGGAGTGTTGCTTTTTTTTGTTTTGTTTTGTTTTTAAGAGAGAAATAAAAACCATAGTTTTGTCCTTTAGTAAAAAAATAAACAAAATTGATTACCCCAAAACCATTGACTGGTTCTGAGTAGCAACATTCCCAGCTACTGGTCTCTATTTCAAATGAGGATCTTCTCTCTGCCTCGTGGTGAAAGCAAGACTTCATCAAGCTCTGACCAGCCATCTCGTTTTCCAAGATGGCCTCTTTAGGAAATGTGAAGTGTGCATTATTTTACTGCCACTTCACAGTGCTTGACCTTTTGCTGCCCTTGCCTCCTCTTCCACAGCTCCTTTGCCTGAAGGCTTGCAACTAGCAGATCAGCTGGTCTCCCTCTGTGACCTAGTTTGCACTGGAACTTTCAGTTGCTGATTCCAGGGGATAAGCACGCAAAGGGTGTGCAGTTGGTTGTCCATGTTGCTGCCTCCTCCCCAGGCAAAAGGCTTGCCCAGGGCAGAGTCCCCCTGTCTCCCTGCCACAGGCTAATGAATTTAGCCATCCTCGGTGGAAGGGAAGCAATGAATATCAGAGGCGGAATTTATCCCAGAGGCAAATTACGTGTTTGATATTTTGCCTTGCTGGGAGCTGCATTTTGGTTGTGGAAGGGATGGATGATAAAGGAATTTCCTGTTGTCAGGCAGGTGGCATGTTTCTCTTTTCACCCCCCTAAAGCAAGGTTTCCCAGTCTTTTTCAAGCCACAGCTGCTTTTAAAATAGCTAAGTAACCTGTGACCCCTCTGACCACATTTGCATAAAAAGGCATTTTTAATATAGTAAAGAAACACTGGAATAGTTTTTAAAGAACATAATTCTAACTTAATATATTAATATTAATGTAATAATACGTAATGGGGTGCTGTAAATCTGCCACTACCAGGTAAAAATTGAGAAGGGAAAAAAAGTCAATACACTTTTGAGTTTAATTTACTTTTTTGGGTGTGGAAGCTACCTTCCTTTCTTGTCTCTTCCCGCCCAAAAAAGCCTCCTGAATAAAGAGCCCCTTTCCCTCAAGCCCAAACAAGCAATTCCCTCACAGCTGCCCTATGCTGCTCCCCCCCCCATTTTCCCTCACCTTTTTGTTCCTCTCATCTTCCTACTCCATGACTCAGGCAGGGCATGAAGGTATCTCCCAGCCCAGATCCCTTGTCCCTTCGCTGTACTGCCATTGCTGCACCTGGAAGAGTGGGGGACTGAAGCAGAGCAAAAGGTGCCACTGGCATGGCAGCAACAACTTTTCAGCCCTGCTGCCATCTTGGACTCCAATGTTCCCGCCATGCATCGCACATTCACCTCATTCAGGCTTCTTTGAGCTGGGCTAACACTTGGGTCCAAAGCGCTGACATCAGTCTTCCAAAGATGGATGCAGAGAAGCAGAGAGAAATCAGGGAGAGGTGGTAGAAATGATGGTATGCCTAAAAGGAAAATCCACTCAAAAATAAGAATTTTAGGTTGCTTGCTGCAGTTTCTGTTCAGATTAAATGTATCTATCTGTGGGCCATGAAGATTTTTTAAAAAGCAGCATTGTATATTTACTACAACAAATATAAATATAATTGCAACTATAAATAACTGTGGCAATTCCCAACCCCTTCCCCATGTTGAAAACCTGTGCCCTTAATGCTTGTCTTGCTTTTCTCTTGCAGCTCATCGAGCGCTCCCCCAAGACCCTGCCCCGATCCATGGTGTATATCTGCATCATCATGTTCGTCATGGGGGCCAGCATACACTTGGTAGGAGACTCTGTCAATCACAGGCTGATCTTCAGTGGCTATCAGCTCCACCTGTCCGTCCGAGAGAACCCCATCATCCAAAACCTCAAGCCAGAGACGCTGGTAAAGAGTGGCCAGGCAGCTCGTGGTCCTTCCACTGACTTAGCCACGAGCTGGGACCTCTTTCCTCTCCTGACTCTCCCTTTTCCATTCCTTTCCAGATTGATTCCTTTGAGCTGCTCTACTATTATGATGAATACCTTGGTCATTCAATGTGGTAAGCAAATGATAGCATTTCAGATAGGGTGTCTTCTTGTCACAGCTTAGAGCTGGGTGGTTTTAACCAAGAACTATAATCATAAGACTCAGGATGCTTTTCACATTATGTTATTAGCGTGTACGTACATCCGAATGTGACACATCTATATTCCAGGGCCACTTCCCTATACAGTAGCAAGTGTACCTTTTTAAAACTCCCCAAAAATAATGAATTTATCTTCTGCTATGTGAAAAGAGTATAGGGAATATTGAGACAGCAGGAGTCCCTGAGTTAGGCAGAAAAGACATGTTTTAGGTCTTTCCTTTTAGTATTCTACAGGCTACTTTGTTGATCCCACTATCAGTTGTATGATTTACTGTATATTTGATTGGTTCCTCAAATAATTTGCAATAATTACAAGTTTGGTTCTTCTCTGTAACAGGAGTTTTATTTTAAGAGAGAGAGAGAGAGAGAGAGATTAAACTGTACACTTCTATTTCTTTTATTCATCAGCTCCTTATAAAGTTGCTTTCACAAAATCTCTTCCGTTACCTTTCCAGGGAAGGGATGATGACAGGCATGGGAAACTTTGCTTTTCTTCTCTGTTAACAACATCAGAAGAAGAGATAGCTGTGTTAGTCCGTGCAAGCATTATAGGCAAAAGCAAAATAGAAATCAAAAATAGAAAAGACAAGCTTGTGCAAGCACAATGAAAGATCTGCATATCAAAGATGCCATCACCTCAGTATTAAATGCCCACTGACTGACTTACCAATCACAATCGCTATATTTTGATGGCATGTATAAATATTTGCCAAGTGAAATTTCTTTCTCTTCTGTCTTCTGTCCATGAAAGCTCACATTAAAAAAATACAAAAGTTAGTCTTTAATATGCCACCACATTTTTGTCTTTTTTAACTTTATATTTCTATTTTGCTTTTATCTATAACATCAGAAGAATGGCTCTGCCCAACAAGAGGCCACCTGGTGCTTTCCACAGAAAAACCGTTCAGCCCAACTGTTTCATCAGCAGGAAGTGACAGTTTATAAGGCTACGAGGACCCGAAATCAAATAAGCAATGGTGGCCTCAGTGAATAAACATTTATGCCACATTGATAAACTTTACAGCATTGACACATGACTGGAGTTTAGCTTGAAGAATCTCTGCTTTTGGTTCTAGTTATTTGATGTTAATGGTGGTTTGGGCTTCCACAGGGGAGGGGGGGCAGCAACATAGGCTGCTTATCCTGTGCAGAAAAGTAAGAGGCATTTATCAGCAGCTTATAAGAATGGCCCTCATTTAAAACATTCCTCATGTTTCCTTGCCACCTCTGTGGCCTCCCTAGAAGCTCTAAACTCAGTCTCAGAGTAGCCAACTCCCAAACCAATTGTGCTGTGCTTCACTTGGTTGTGGCTGCCGCCAGTTGTAACGAGATAATATCAAAATGGACTCTGTGTGTGTGTAGGTGTACAGATTCATCCCTGATAGAGGAACGTGGCTGCCTTCCGCAATGCACTCAAAACCTTGAAATTAAGAGTGGATTGTGTGGTCTTTTCAGGGTGTTGAGGAGCAGACGGTCCCCTACATGCTGAGCACTGCATCCACAGCTAAGTGTCTGCCTTGTGGCTCCATTGTGTACTCAGACTATAGTTTACTCTGGTTATTGCCTCCTCTGTCCATATGCATTAAGAGTATCTATAGTAGGGGTTGTGCTGGACATGATGCCTGTGACCTGATAGTCGAACAATGCTTTGTTATGCATGAATTGTGTACTTAGTAAACAAACATTTCCATGGACATGGGTCCTGAAGAATAGTGCCAGCAGTTGGTTCCACATCAATTCCACTGTAGACAGGGGAAGCTATGTAGGGTGGAAGTTCACCCTTTCTGAAGTTCATCTGATGTCACCTTAATCATAGCACCCTGAACAGCAGTTTGATACTAATGTTCAACTAAAAATAGTTTTATATTACAAAATCAAACCCTTTAAAAACACAGCTGTGTGACTTTCACTTAATATAAAAGCAGAGAGAGTTCTGAGTTAATTGGGAAGGCAAAATGTTGGAACGTTGCTCTTCCCCAAAATATTTGATTGTCACTCTGGATTGAACTATGACCTACAAAAACATTGTCTAAACACCAAACAGAAAGTTGCCATGAGAAATAACAGACTTAGGAAACTGGCTGTGTCACACTGAGGTTACCCACGAGAGCAGAAACAGAGAGCTTGTATTAAAATCTTGGAGAAGAGAAATCCAAGCCCCACCACACCCAAGAATCTACTTTCAACCCCCACTGCAACTGTGTTCCTTTTTGCAGGTACATCCCCTTCTTTCTCATCCTGTGTATATACTTTTCTGGTTGCTTCATACCCTGTAAAGAAGAACAGCAAAGAATACCCATGGCTGCTTTACTTCTCATTGGTCCTAGCAGTCTATACTACTGGTAAGCAAGCCAAGATGTTTTTGAGAGGAGTGACAATTGGGAAGTCAGTTATGTGTTACATTCTTGAAAATATTTTATTTTGAAGCAATACTGAATAATTAATAATTCAGTGAATAACCTGTCAGTAATTTGAGACAATGACATGATTTTGAATGAGACCTTGGTTACATCATGTAAATGTAAGATTTGTACTGTACTCATCCGCTGCAGGGTTGGGGCCCCATGGATGAGAGATGACACACTACCAAGAAGCTCTGATGCTTGTGTACTGTCCCAACAAAGAAATTCAATGTAGGCAGCCCACGTTAGATACTCAATGTTGTGCAGTACTAAAGCAGCAAATGAAGAACCTTCGAGAAGGTTCTCAGCCAAAGAGCAGTGGGTAAGGTTAGGACACCAACTCTAGAGTAAATTTTAGGCCAAATAGAGTCAGACTAATGTTGAGCAAGCTGTCTTTGGGATTTATAGTGACAATCTGTTCTCGTGGGAGGTTTTTTTAATTTTTATTTTATTTTTATTTTTTGTAAAGGACAGATAGGTTTCAGCTGATGATGTAAAATATTCTTCGGGAATCAAAAAGATTTTAGCTGTTTGATCCACTGAAGCCTCTTCAAACCCCACATCATAAATGATTTTCCTGCTTGTTCTGAACTTTGAAACTGGCCTCTTAGATGGGGTGTATGGGAAAGTGGCTGCACGCCCTCTGTTTCAGTCGGTTCCCTACACTGGGAATAAAAACAGTTCCAAAGATGTAGTCACATAGCTGCCTCCTGCTCCCTTGTTTTATATGGGCCAGTGCTTTTCACTTGAACTGTAGACCTTGAATTGTGTTAGAGCTTTGCTCCACCTGAGGCTCTTGTCTAGCTGTGTACATTGTCAGAAATGAGCAGTCTCCCAAGAGAGGTTTGTTGGCACTATACTCGTTCATAACTCACTTTCTTGTATTATTTCCGCATACATCCTATTTTTAATTTTAAAAAAAAACCCAAGGTAGGAGACAGCATTGGCACATCCAGCAATAAAGCCACGAATAGGTATGCAAATGCAGCAAACACATGCACAGATACACAATAAAACTTTATGGGTCAAGTCAATTAATCCTTTTGTAAATAGTTGGGTTGGAGAAGTTGTTATTTTATTGCTAAAATGATGGAAAAGTTGTTGGTGGGTGTAGCTTTTGTTGGACATGGCAAAATGAGATGGGGGCACAATGGAGAAGCCTCTATTTGAGCCATATCTTGGTGTTCTTCTCTCGTGGTAGAACACCAAGACAGTCTTCTTCCTCAGATTGAAGGGCATGGGCAGACTAACATAGGAAAAAAGCATTCCTTGAAATAGCTGGGTCCCTCCCAGGTCGTTTAAGGCTTTGTAGAACAGTACTAAGACTTTGAATTTGCCCTAAAGTGGCAAACTGGCAACAAACACTGCTCTTTCAGGACAGTGTTGTATGATCCACAGCTGTCTTTGTCAGTATTCTGGCAGACCCATTTTGCATTAATTGTCAATACCAGATTCAAGGGAAATCTCGCATGAAATCCACTTGCAGTAGTCCAGAAAAGAGTTTGCCATAGCTAAACTGTCTTTGTTCTGGATTGACTACAGTTGATGTACCAGCTGAAACCAGCCAAGGGCATTCCATGATCTACTTCCCAGCACAAGATCCACCCATCTAGAGGAACTCTTTTCCTGTCTAGATTCAGTCTATGTTTGTTTTATTTATTTATTTCTACTTCTACAGTATAGTGCCCCATTAGTGTTACCACTGTCTGGGCAGTTCACAATATACAGTAAAATCATACACAAAACGCTATGTAATAAATACATAAAATTCAATAAATCCTGTTGTTGGTTAAAACTATTTTGAAATAAGAGAAATTAGTACCCATTTGAACATCTCAGGACACTATTCACAGTAGAAGGCAGCTGTATATAATTTGGTCTTAATTAGCTTCCAAAAACCAGACAAGGGATGGTGCCTGGTGAACTTCTGTAGGAAGCGTATTCCAGAGGGAAGATGAGAAAGCTCAGTTCCAGGGGGTGGCTTTTTTGGCTTCCTTAGGTGTTACAATTCTTAACATCAAGGACTGCAAAGAGCATGTGAAACAGGTAGCTATTTTGTGGGAGAGACATTCTGCCAAATATTGAGGCTGTTAACCATTAAGTGCTTTATAGCACCCTAAATTGAGCATGGAAACTAATAGGGAGCCAATGAAGGCATGCCAAGCCTGCGGATGGGATATATGTTCATATCTGCTACAGACTTCAAGGGCAAGCCTACGTAGAGAGAGTTACAGTAGTCTATTTTAGACACTACCAATACATGTTGTGAGGCATTTCTTATCCAGATAGGTGCAGCTGGGGAATCAACCTTCATCCAGCTCACTTCTGCCTCCAAATAGTTTTCTAGCATAGAACCTTTGGCTTCTCTAATTAGGAGAAATGGAGTCTGCAGTCATCAGCATATTTTGTGAAATACCTAGTGTATTTTGTAAAATAGCAATGAGAATTTTGTTGCAGGGGTCTTCCTTGTGGCACATTGGTTAAACTGCAGTATTGCAGCCAAAACTCTGCTCATGGCTTGGGTTCAATCCTAGGTAGCCAGCTCGAGGTTCACTCAACCTTCCATCCTTCTGAGGTCAGTGAATTGTGTGCCCAGCCTGTGGGGAGGGGCAGGATTGTGTAGCCTGTATAATTGTGCTTTTAAAGACTTTGCTTTTTGTTTTTCCTCTGATATTGTTTTTCTTAGGATTTGGATACTGTTGTCGCTTTCACCTTTGGTATAAACTGTCCTATATTGTTTTATTATAAATGATTAAATCCTTTTTTTTAAAAAAAATTGAGGTAGGGTAGAAATGTAATACATTAATTACATAGATTGGGAGCTGATCCTGGAGTCTTGTCCAGGCTCAAGATGTTTCTCCAGTGCCCATCGGATACCCTGTGCGCTCTTCCTTAGCCAGTGAGCACTGGCTTCCTTTTCCCTGATGAAGGTGGAAGCCCTTACTTCTCTTCTGACCAAAGCCCTTCTTTCCCTTGCAGGTATCTTGTCACGGAAGGGCAGATCTTCATCCTCTTCATTTTCACTTTCTTTGCCCTAATGGCTTTGGTGATGCACCAGAAGCGGAAAGGACTGCTCATGGACAGCAACGGCCGTTTTCTTTTCTACTCCTTCATTATCACTCTGGTGTTGATTGCTTTGTGGGTTGGCTGGCTCTGGAATGATAAAATCCTCAGGAAGAAATACCCTGGCATCATCTACATTCCAGAACCTTGGGCATTTTATACCTTGCACATGAGTAGTTTGCACTCACCAAAAGGGGAGAGCATTTAACTTCTATAGTTCTTTTGTGGGTGTGCGTGTGAAAATGTGGTCCTTGGGTCCTGCCCTCTGAAAACATCTCCCTTCCAGTACCAGTGATTCCTCCTAATTTAGCTCAGATGAAGACTCTGCAACCCAATCATCAAATTCCACTTGAGTTCACTGAAATCTTTGCATTGCAGAGAGAATACTCATAACCTGATAGGCCTCTTTACTTGGTGGTCTTGGATTCCGTTTGCACCTTAACTGCTGTTAAAGAGTAGAGATTCAAACTGAATAGACAGCCTAGCCTGCACTTTTTCTTTACTTAACAATTTGAGACTGTTCCACTATGATAGAGAAAATTCCTGTCTACCAGTCCAGTGGAATGGGGTTATGGATCCTCTTGTCCGCATCAAAAACATTTTCCAGCAATAAAACCCTTGATTTGTTTTAGTTAAGAAAACAGATCGTAAGTGTGTAACCTTCAACACTGGTTGTCCTTGACTGTCCTGGCCCACTGGGTGGACGGGTGCAAATCGGAACTCTTACTCGCTTCCAGAATAACAAAACCCAGTCTTGAAATCAACAGGTTGAGTTGCTGGAGCACTCAGCTTCTGAATGTTCTCCACATGCCTCGGTCTCTCGGGCTTGCAGATGTGGCAGCAGCATTTGTTAACATCAGTCTCCAGTCAAAGAAGGATCTGAAAGACCTCTGGAGTTCAGTAGAAATGCAGTGTGTGGTGTACACAGCTTACTTTTTAGCATCCTTCTTGTGGTTGGGAACTAAGGAACTCATGCAAAATAACACAGATATGATTCTTCAGTACAGCTCAGCCTAACTATGTAGGGCATGGATGGACATGGTCCATCCTTGGAAGGAGGGTTTAGGAGCCAAAATTAAGCTCCAGCACCCCAGTGCTAGCTGTAAGAGGTCTGGAAACAACCATCAACACCACCTTAGAACTGCAGAGCTGGAAGTGACCCTATGGCTAATCAAGTCCAGCCCCTATCAAGAAGGCACAGTGGTGAATCGCACTGCCAGCCTCTGAGTTCACAACCAGAGACCTAAACCACAGAGCTATCCAGCAGTTTCAAAAAATATAATTATTAAAAAAAAACATACTGGAAAAGTCCAGATGGGCACTTTTAGTTTCTTTTGAGTGGGGGAGTTTTAAGGGAACCCCTCAAAGCTATTAGGAAAATGATTGCTAAGGCCTTTTTTTGCCAAAATTGGTCCATATTTTTTCTGCTTTCAACATGGGTGGCCCTAAAGTCCACAGAAATGCACCCGAGGAGGTACATGTAGCCCACAAACTGCACTTTCACCATCTGTGGCATAAGGGAAATCCTGCAGAGCCTGGCATTCAGCAACTCTGCTGCTTTTGAGGAGCCTCATGGTGCAGTGGTTAAACTATAGTACTGAAGTTAAGACTGTTCACAACCTGAGTTGGATCCCAACAGATTCAGGTAGCCAACTCAAGGTTGAGTCAATCTTCCATCCTTCCAAGACTGGTAAAATGAGTGCCCAGTTTGCTGGGAAGCAAAATTAAATTGTAAACCCACTCAGAAAGCGCTATGGGGTGGTATATGAGGAGCATGCTTTGCTTTTTTTAAAAACAACCTTCAGTGAAAATTGCTGTTTTAAGATAAAGCTGGTTTTCCAAACATGGAGCCCTTCACATGTGTATGAGCTCCAAAACAGCTAAGCCAAACCAGTCAGAGCTAAGCTGATTTAAGTAGGACCAAGGCAAGGGCTAGCAGCCAATTCAATAGTTTTGTGTCAATGGTTCAGTTGCCTCCTAAACAGTGCTTCATGTTTTTAAATCTAGACATGATCAGTGCTTCAAGATAATCTTCCTGAGTTCCTGAACAAAGTGAAAAATATGGTAGTTATCTTGCTGCTTAGTCTTTGTTGCAAGAGAAGGCAATGTATTTTCTTCTAATGGTGATCTCAGGAGGGGAAACTGGCCCATCAAAAATGAAGGTAGTGGTTCCTGTGTACTTGGCAGAACTCCTTACGGTGATGGTCAGAAAGATAGGAGTTTGTAAAGTGAAGGAAATAAATGAAAACCGGTGAATCCAGCCTACCAACCGGTTGGGACCTTCTGGAATGTATTGCTGGGCATGAACGGGAAAAAAGGTGGAGCTGGCCTATCAAATGTCATCCAAGAAGAGATGGTGAGGTTAGGGTTGTGGGGTGGGCAGTTCACACATTCTCTACACCTGTGACTGTTCAGAAGGGAAGAGAACAGAAATCCCTCTTTTTCCCTCCAGAATCACTTCATTAATTTTGCTAGTCTGTATGTAGTGAAGTATAGAAGGAGAACCCAGATGCAGCGTGTTTACTTAATCTGAGGTTGTGATAGGTTCACAAATGACATGGAAGAGTGGATTCTACTTGACCCCCAAAAAAGAAGAGAGACGCAGTCTGAAGTGCATCCTAAGAATTCCAACAGACCTGGCTACAGGAAACATGGCATCATCTGTGCTTGGATCTGTTTCCAGAAGCAGCCTTTAGAGAACTGCAAGCGAAGGGGTCGTTTGTGACCGGGAAAGGCATGTTAATGCCCTCTGGAGAAACCACCACTCTCTATTTGCCTCATGCTAGGCTCATTCCCACCTTTCAGTGCTTGTCCTCTCCTTCGTCTTAAGCACTCAGAAAGTTTTCATTCTAAGCCCCTTAGAATTCTATGTGTAAATTCTTAATGCTAAGAAGGGTGCAGGGTCATTTCTTAACCTTAATTATCTGTTGAGTACATTTTTTTTAGATCATGGAATTCTTTACCTTTGGTGACTTCATTTCCTACATAATCTGAGTGTGTACATGAGGAGTTTGTTGACAGATAAAATAAATAATTTGCTTTCTAGACAGAGATTTGGGTGTTAAAAAAACTTCATAAATACAAACAAGTCTCCATTTTAAAACTGTATGATTACATACTGCCTTATCTCCACAGAGCTGGGACAATGTGTGGTTCTTGTTTTAAGTCTGTAGTAAGCCTCTAAGATAGCTGATAGAGATATGCACAATATAAAATGACTTTAAGATGGATAGCTTACTGAAAATGTGTATAAAGGCTATGCAGAAAATAGACTGGGAAGCGATTTTCTCAGTTACTACAACTGTGGGTCATCCACTGAAGCTGAATGACAAGAGGAAGTCCTTCCCACAGAGTACAATTACACTTTGGAATGTTTTACATGTGAGTGGCAAATAAGTCTTATCAACCACTGTTAACCATATGTTATTTCTTGCACTACAAAGAGTTTCCTTTTGAATCCCAGTTGCTTTGGGATACTGTCTGGAATGGGCTGTTGCATTCATGTCCTGTTTATGGAGTTCACATTAGCATTTGATAGGCAACTGTGAGTACAGGATGGGAGACTAGGTGTTTGTTTGATTGATCAATTGATTGATTGATATACTGCCTCGTTAGTGTAAAGTACTATTCTGGGCGGTTTACAGCAATAAAATATACAGTACTAAACAAATGCTAAATGCACAAGAATTAAAACAATAAAATAAGAATAAAATAACAATTATCTGAATGATGACAGGAAAGGGAGCATAATCAAACATCAGTGTGGAAAGAGTCCCTGAATAGCAATCTTTTAAATTGTCTTCTGAAATTTAGCAGGGAGGAGGCCAGGTAAACATTTGGTCTGATCCAGCATGGTGTTTACACCCTTAGAATTACCCAGCAAAATTTTGTTGCTAAGAATTTATGCTCGGAGAGTGACACAACCCTATTCTAGCACGTGAACTACTCTACCACACTGGTATCAAGGTTCATGGATGAGGCAAACACTGACATTTTATAAGCATGTCTGGAGTGGTTAAGAAACATGTCAGCTAGAAGAGGTACGTGAGAGGTATCTGGCATTAGTGTCATTTAATGGCTTACAACAGGGATTGAATCCAATTATATCTATTTATCTAATTACCGGGGGCATTACCTTATAGTCCCAATTAAGAATAAATCCATGGTCTTGGAATGGTTCCAGTCAGTAACATATGGCCAGATTTGGGTCCATCAGCACCTGTATAGGTCGGGTCCCAAACACAGAAAGATGTTCCTGAGGGATATTATTGTGAGATTTGCAAGTTTTTATAAAAAGAAACTATTCTTGAAGGCAGCCAAAGAAAAGACTGGACAAAAGTGTCTCAGTTTAGGTGTATCAAGATTTGTTCCCTCAAACAGTTGCTTGGAGATGAAGTATGAAAATAGTTACTGTGATCTTAATGAAGAACATAAAATGCAACTGGGGGGGGTATCTAGTTTACATGAAAGTCTGATTTAATGGAAAACTATAAAGTAACATCAGGGACTACAGCTGCTACAAGATTGGGGGCTAGCAAAAGATCAACAACTGCTGCATGAGCTGGAAAAACTGGGCAAGGAGGAAGAAAAGGGAGCAGCTGGCTACTACGATGGAAGGAGAAGCTCAAGAGGCGCAAGGTGCGGTGGGAGGCTTGTTGATGTAAGACCTCCTTGGATTATTGGAATACTTAATTGATGAGGAAGCGGAGGTGCTCCAAGCAAGCATATAACACCTTTTCTTCTGTCTTCTTCTCTTTTTTATACATATATATTTAATACTTTTTTAAAAATCTTCCTAGAGAACAAAAGAAGGGAAAAATTGATAATCTTTAAAAAAAACTTTTGCATACATTTTGACATTTAAAAATGTATCTTTTATTTTTTTAAATTTATTTACTAGTATCATCTTACCTCTCCCTCTTTTTTTATACATATACTCTTTAGGTATTAATAAGTTTATTTGATCAAATTTATAGAGTAAGACTAGACATAAGGTACTAAGAGATGAGCTATGGGGTATAAGGCTAAAATACAAGATGCATAAGAAAGTATAGTAAGTTTAAGAAGGCTTAGCATTGTATAAATAAAGATAAGAAGGTTAAAAAATTCTAGAGATAAGGTTAGGGGAAATTACGAATAATAAGTAGAGGAAGAAGTTTTAGTATTAAAATAGCTAGCCTATTATATTTTGCAAATACAAGTATTTTAAGTAAGGATAGCTTTACCAGTAGAATAGTTTAAAAGAGAATTTCCAAAGCATGATATGGTTGTAGCTAAAAGGGACGTGGTGGAGCTGCAGGCTAAACCGCAGAAGCCTTTGTGTGCTGCAGGGTCAGACCAGCAGTTGTAAGATAGAATCCATGCAACAGAGTGAGTTCCCGTCGCTTTGTCCCAGCTCCTCGCCAACCTAGCAGTTCGAAAGCATGTAAATGTGAGTAGATGAATAGGTACCACCTCGGTGGGAAGGTAAACAGCGTTCTGTGTATAGCCGCGCTGGCCACATGACAACGGAAACTGTCTTCGGACAAACGCTGGCTGTACAGCTTAGAAACGGGGATGAGCACCGTCCCCTAGAGTCGAACACAACTGACTAAAATGTCAAGGGGAACCTTTACCTAAAAGAGATAGACATATGATAAAGTAACAGTATTAGGTATATACAACAA